GGTTCAATCCCCCAGCACCACATGCCAGCCAGCCCCGCCCCCTGGTGGGCTGAGCTGGCCACACACACAAAATAAATGAATAAATAAATAATAAAAAAAAATTAAAAAAAAATTACAACATGCTGTACTAACATGTACACTCCTAAATATTTCTATACTTTTGATTATTGCAGAGTTGTGGAGTTAACACTTCAAAAAATAAAAACAAAATCAGCAAAACCACAAGTCAAGCATTTCAAGCTCTGGGAATACTGCTAATGTGTTTTCCACCAAAATAAAAGCATTTATATTGCATCAGGAGAGTATGGGAAGACACCTCCTTACAATCTCTTCAGTACTGGACGCTGCAGTTTCCTACTGCGCGAGTGTGTTACTCGGTAAGTGGTTCTGCTAGCTGGACAAGATGATACACAACTATAATCTCAGCACTCGGAGAGCTCAAGGCAGGAAGATTGGAAGTCTGAACCAGGACAAATGGCAAGGCCCTGTCTCAAAATAAAAAATAAAAAAGGGCTGAGAATATAGCTCAACATGAAAGCAACCACATTCAAACCCCAGTACCACCCCTCCCAAAGACTATGCCGTCTTGCTGTTCTTTCTTTTTTTTTTCTTTTTTTGGTAGGACCAGGGATTGAAATCAGACCCTTGTGCTTGCCAGGCAGGCACTTATTCTACTGAGCGCTGTTCTTTCAATTAGTATTCATTTGATTATTTGCAAGGAAAACACTTTTGTATATTAGCCAATGTTTTCTCTTTTGAAAACTGATTACTTCCCCCATTTAACTGTAATAGTAATGATGATAATGTATTCATTGGTTTGCTCAACAAATATTTACTAAGCATTCATCACTGCTGATGCTGTGTTTTGTTTTGCTTCATTCGCAGTTGTGGGGATCAGGGCCAGGGCACTGGGCATGCCAGGCAAACGCTCCACCCCTGAGCCAGCCCTCGAACTCTTCTGAATCCTGAGGATCTAGATGTGCTCCTCACGGAGCATCCATTCTAGTGGAGGGAGAGGGCCATAAACTAATGAAGAAGCAAACAGCCAAAGCATCAGAGAGTAAAAAGTAGTATGGAGAAAAATGAAACATAGATGGGTGAGTTAAGACGCAAAGTGCTCCCGGGAAGAAAGACCCCAGGAAGCATGTCCACATATATGCAAAGGATAGCAAGGCCTGGGTACTTGGATGAAGGAAGCCACCAAGAGGAAGATGGGAGGTGATGTCTGAGAGCTAGTGGAGAAAAGTCCAGAGAGAGCAAGGCCCATAAGCTAGTGACCATATGTAATCTATCATCCACACTGGGAGACTTATTTTATTTTTGAAACTGGTTCTTAGTGTGTTACCCACACTGGTCTCAGCCAGTCTGAGAGATCTTCCTGCCTCAGCCTCCTCAGTGCTGGGACTAGAGACATGCCCCATCCTGGCCAACCACACTGGGAGGGTCTAGAGTGAAAGGTGGGAGAATGGTCTACTAATAATTATACTAGGTCAACACATACAATCTGGGACCACCCTAGACAAAACATGACATGCTCTTGTCCTACTGGTAGCCCTTGTGCTTTTGGAAGTTTCTGAGCAGGAAAGCAATGTGATCTGCTGAGCTCATTCTGCTATTCTGACAGTAGGTCAGAGGGGAGCAGGGGAAGAACGAACAAGAAGGGACCTGTTGGACGCCAACAGAATCTGGGCAAGAAACCGGGCTCTAGATATGTTGAAATTGTAGCCAAAGGTTTATGGGCAGGTTGGATTTGGGCTATGGGGAGAAAGAACAAAACAGACAAACAAAAACGGAGTTGCCATTTACTGAGATGGAGAGGGCTTTAGAGAGAGAAGGTTTGGAGAAGCAATTAGGCACAGGTCAAATTTGACATGTTAATTTTGAGGTGTGTGTCATCTACAAGGGAGACCGCACTGAGTAGCAGTCGGGATGTGAGCCTGGGGGTCAGCTCTCCGCTTTTATTTGATGGTTGTCAATGTAGAGGCGATATTTAGAAGACTGGGTAAGTGTTGGGGAGAGCGAAGATGGTGACGGAGCAGCCACCGCAGTGCATGGGGAGCCCAGGAAGGGGTGTCCCAACACGCGTTCCGAGGGAGAAAGAAGCGCGTGCGTTAACCACCTGGAGAGGTCAGGTCAGAGGAAGGCTGGAAAGATTATTAAATTGAGAAACAGGCAAGTCCAGAGGGCGCATGAGAAGACTTTTCTAGTGAAAGGTGGGGCCTCGGCTTAGGTGTAGAGGGCTCCAGGGAGAAGGGAAGGAAGAGACTGGAAGTAGCGAGGATGCGGCCAGCTTTTGAGGAGTGTCCCTGGAAAGGGACAGGGAGAAATGAGGCAATAACTCTACAGATGAAGAGCCTGAAGTTTAGGAAGAAAATAACTGCTGAAGGCCACACAATAGGTAAGCGACAGACCCAGGGACATCTGTCTCCCGAGGCTGGATACTTAGCGCTCTTACTAATTACTTTAATTGGAGCATTCATGGGCATTTTGAAACTTAGTGCATATGATTCAGATGTGATATGCACACGTACCACGTCCCCAAGGCAAATGTAATTTATGAATCGCAAACATATGCTAATGAAAAAATTTTTTAAGTTTTATTTTTGGTACAGGGTCTTACTATGCAGTTCGGACTTCTAGTGATCCTCCTGCCTCAGCCTCCCCAGTGCTGCGATGGCATGTGA